CCCCAAAACCCCAAAACCCCAAAACCCCAAAACCCCTTTGAACAGTATTTTAACTGAAGAAGGATTTAGAGAATTATATTAAGAATGAAGGTGATTTTGGTATTGATTGGATTGGTCAGGTAAGAGAGAAAGGGACAGAGAAGGGTAGAGGAAAAAAGAGGATGGGATCGAGAGAGGGTTGAGCTATTTTAAGAGGGATGGGTGGAGGGTGATGGATTTTATTTTTTCTTATTAGAAGTTTAGGAATTATAATTGGTTCTTTCCTTTGAAATCTTATGAATCGCAAGACTTTATACGAACACATTGTTTCTAAAGCTATCTTTTGTAGAAAATGTTATCTGAAATAGAGAGTAAATTGGAGTAATCTATCCCTATAATATATTCCCATTCTTTAAAAATTTTGATCATTTTATAATTTAACGTCAATTTAAGCATTGTGACATCTACAATTTACACAATTGACTCAGATACAAGCATTGGCATAACTCTTGACAAAGACAATAGGAGACTATACTTTAACCATACTATGCTTGCAGGGCACTTCATCGGACTTGGAGTTCAAAACTCTGAAGATGATGCTGATATTTATGGTATACAAGTTACTATGGAAGACGAAGTCACAACTGCAATGAAGATCTTTGATGTTTACATTACCGAAGGAAACGAAGTTCATTCTTATACTAAACAGGCTTATAAAGGAATAAAACTGAGACAAGCTCTCCCAAGAGTATCCTTGGAATACTACAGGCCTCTTAAGTTGAACAGAAAAGGAAGAAATCAAACTCTTGAGTTTGACAAAGATTACAGAATGACGTACGTCTTTGAAGAACAAAATATCGAAGATAGAGGCTTCTCTAACAGAGGATATTTTACTATGAGACTTGATTCTAACACCGGGCTAGTTTACATCAATAATTCTCTCAAAGGTGAATCTGGAGAATTCATAAAAACTAGTGCTTAGCAATATTAGTACTTACTTTGCTTTAAAGCTTACCTACACCACTCTTCCTTGTTCTTCATCTAACATTCTCTCTCTGCTCCTTTCTGGTCCACTCACATTGTTATTCTCCTTCAACTTTATGTGAGGAATATCTAAAAATCTTTCTAAAAGCCTTTTCAGAAAAGACTAGGATATTAATTTTCTTATACTTCTATTGAATTCGACGAACGTTCAATTGACAGAAAGAATAAAGGGGTTTTGGGGTTTTGGGGTTTTGGGGTTTTGGGGTTTTGGGGTTTTGGGG